AAATAATGAGTTTTTTATGCTACTAGCAGAAAGTCGCAAATAAATCAATTTTTTTTAAAATTTTTAGGCACTGAAACGGTCGGTAAATTGAAGTTCATCCTCACCTCGAATGTATTCAGTAATTTCTGGAGAAACAGCTTCATCACCATAAACGGTGTAGTTCTTGCCTCTCTCATCGACTACCTGAGGTTAAGAAATGTGCTCACTTCTTTATTTAATTATGTGAAATTATATTTCCAAGGAGTTCAAAATAATAAATATGGACAAATCCACTAATTACTTTCCAAAATCATATGGCTCTTTTCAAAAGTCGTTATTTTTAACAGTTCCAGCTTTTTTTAAAGCAAATCCGAATCTATCACAATTTTTCTAATTCTTCAAGATCTGCTTTTCGAATTTTTGCATCTCATTCCATAATTCCATACGAACTGTATAATACCTCTACAAATTTTGCTGGAAACCATCCACGAAGACCGTTTACTTCGCCAACCCAGCAGTGCTCATCTTTCTCGCAAATTATTGTTATTATGTCATTTTTCCTGGAGATCCAAAGAAAATCTAGAAGTCAGGTTAGAAGGCTAAAAATCTCAAAAAACCTGAATCCGAGCTCATCCTCATCCTGCCGCGCAAAATCTAACAAAGCTCTGGCTCTTTTGTGGCCTTCACGACGACCAGCAAGAAAGTTATCGATATCGTGGGCGTGGGATTCTGGACTGTAGTCAGCCTTGAATTAAACCATTCTTGCTGTTATGAATTTGCACTTTATCGAAGCCTATATTTACTGAAAAAGCAAGAAAAATGAGGTCTTTCTTTCCATCCTCAATCTATATTAAGATCTAGCAAGTACCGAGATGAAACAATGACTTTATAATCAGAATAGAAAACAATAAGTTCTACCTTAGTTGAAATGTTCAATTCCATCTTTTCATCACAACTAATAAAATATCGACAAATTTGGAGCACTGAATCTTTGAGGTCCACAAGAATCTCCGTTTGCCGAACATTCTTGAGCTTGGGATCATCAGTTCCCTAAAAAGTTCTTTGAGATAGCAAATTCTTACAACCAGAAAGAGTTAAAAAAGAGCATTAAACCGTATGGCCCTCAAATTACTAGCAAATAAATGTGAATTTAGGCAAATTTGCCAGAACTACAACTATTAGAAGAAGATAGAAAATATAAAACTAACATCTTTTGAGTGGAAAATCTGCTGAATTATACTTTTCGATCTAGCCAATTTCCTTCTATGAACCTTTTGCTTCGGCAAGTTTGTATCCGTAGTCGTATTAACAATCATTCCTTGGTCGGCCATAAGAATGGCCTAAATTACACAATTCTAATATTTCTATTACTTGCAGTTGCTTGGTTAATTTCTCCTACCTGGTGTTTTTTGCGCAGTTCGTTGATGAGGTGGTCCGTAATGGTAAACTCAAATGACGCCATGTATTCGGTAAGTTTATCAACTTCAGTCACCTAAAAGTGATGACTGGTTCAGGAGATTAACAGGTATTTACCCGCAATTCTCATGGAAACAACCAACCATAGAGAAAAAAACACCTACAGTTTGTGGCAGTTGGCTGATAGCGTTAAAAAGATCAGCTGATGATTTAGAGCTCCTTCCTAACTCGACTATCTCATCCTCCTTCATTCTCATTATTGAGATAATTACCTGAAATTACGTGAGCTATAGGCTACTGCAGTAAAATCCAAACTCTTAGGTTTGCATAATCCTACCCGGAACATGGTAACGCTTCCCGTATAGAAGATAGAATCCCAGACTC